TTTTTTATCCCTCCAAAATGGCACTTGCCAGGGCACTCAGAATAATTTCCCTTCGGCTATGGTTAGTTCAGACATTGGTCTTTTCATGTCTGGTGAGAAAATTGTGTTATCGTATGGCCTTTATGCAGTAGCGCTCCGAAAATGGTAAATTTCACAAAAACCTTAAAAAGTGTATTTTCAGTGTTTTCCTTTGTTTTGGGTAATAAACTTGTATAATTGGTATTGTTCATTAATCTAGCACATTTTCACAAACAGAATCAGACTGTTTATCATTTTTAGACCATTTGGATGAATAGTAGGTAGTGTACTTCCCCCCACACCTGGCTAGGCCCCGCCCACTCCCCTGTCCACCAAATTTTGAACGTGTATGTTGCATAACGAAACAAATGTAAATAAATAATATGCAAGTGAACACTTCAGAAATAACAGAGTTCCTTTTCACAGCCTCCCCTTCCCCCACCCCCGGGGGCATTGCTTGGGGTTGAGGGTGGGGTGTGACCACCCACCAATAACTTGGCATTGTCAGTACAATCATTGTCACATGGGCAAATCTCATGTGATTGCAAGCCGCAATGAATAATAATGGCCATATCCATTGTCCTCTGATTGAAGTGCACCATTATTCAAATGATGTCCAGTCCTCCCCTCCCAGCTAGGCCCCGCTCCTTCCTTTGCCACCAAATTCAGATTTTGATTTCTGCATGTATTTGCCTAAATTAAATTGTAAATATATACTAGATATCAATTTGAAAGTGAACCTTTTATGATCTACACCAACAGCCGTCTCACAATACCCCCTTCCCCTGCCACCCCCACTCCCAAAGCTCAAAGATAACCACGCCCTCCCCAACAAGTCAACAAGTACAATTTTGTTGAGATTACTTACATGCATATGGCCTTGGGGAAAGTCTGAATTATGCAAGGTGGCTTTTTTACAACACGGGGCAGCTTGAAATATCCGAAAAGTGAGGGGGAGAAGGGGTGTGTATGTCGCGGGGTGGGAAGGGTGATCTGGACACACGCAATGTACGCTGTACACATTTGTTTATATTGCAAGCTACTTTGGAATTACAGTGAAAGGTGTGGTGAACAAAATGACGTTTATTTTATTATTTTCAAAACGGAAAAGATCTGTCGATTTAGAGAGCAACTAACTCTGATTTGTTTATATTGAAATACATGTACTTTAAAACAACGATCACTCCAGTGAAAGCTCCGAGAGAACACAGCATCAATTTGATTGCATGAATTTCACTCTTACTTGACTTGGCTATATACATGTAGTTAGGGTCTGAAGTATTTTTTTAGTGGAAGTGTCCTCCAAATTTGTATTTGCCTGATCAACATGAAGTTTTGTGGCACCAAATACACTTCTGTAGTGTGCTTATTATTACCATGGCAACCGTTGTAAAGACATCGGTGCTCATAAACTAAAGTCAAAAATACTTCCATTTTCAAAGCCTATCACGGAAGTATTATCCTATGACTGAAATTCATGGCTATATAATTAACAACAATACATGCTCAGTATGTAACGTGGCCACCATTGGTGCGAGAAGCGCATTAATTTTCACCTCTCAATCTGTACCATTTTGTTTGTTTTGATGTATACGTTTCTTATAGTTATTACATGAATCAATTGCAGAGCATTAAATAACATCACCACAATTGTGTATATTTACTTTAGTTTTGCCAATTCGGGTTGAAAACCCACACATTTTTGCAATAAAATCAGTAATTATAAGTCCCTATGGCAGTGACAGTGGATGCATACAATTGCTTGACTGGGATGAATGTTTACACAGAAATACAGAAACTATGCCCAAAATGTTATCTAGACAAGAGTTTGGAAAAATATATAAAAAACACCTCTAGTGGTAACAGCAATAGAACCAAGAATGTCATATTATAGAGTAATGGTCAACCAATATTTTCCTGCCAAATCGGTTGTAGGAAAATCGGTCAAAGTATATGCAAATCAACATGGGATCACAGTGTGCTGTGCCCCTCCCTTTCAGAAAAAACACACAAATACCCGCCAGAAAGGGATAAAATCTGTAAGCACTTGTGGTTCAGTGGGGAAGTTGGTTTGTTTTTTTAATTAACACATCAACAAAACATTCCCTGCCTGTATACAAAAAACCCCTGTAATTTATAAGCACCAATACATTTAGATTGCTTGCCATGTAACAATGGATGCACCACAGAAGTGTGGCCATGTTGACTGCTGATGACAGTTTGGAAGAGACTCAAAATGTCATGCTTATTACGAAATTACGATTTTGGAGGGCATAGCAGCACCCATAACGGTACTATATTCGACTTTATATGTGCTTGATCTGACCATATTTACACATTCAATTCAATCAACCAATATAGAGGCCATTTTGAGTTTTCACTAGAGTGATAGAAGTACATGTATTTTAATATACAAATATGAGTTATTTGCTCTCGTAATCGCCATTTCACTTCTCTGTATTGAAAATAAAAAATAAATGCAATTGTGTTAAAAAAAATTCAGCATTATATACATGTACCACGTACATGTATCATGTACATGTACATGTATCCATATTACACCCCCCCCCCCCCGCGCGCTTTCCAGATATTCCAAACCACTCCCACGTTGACAAAAAAATAGCAAAACCTACACAGTGTATGTAAATATGTGGACTTTCCGCAAGGCAATATGTAACCTCAACAATAATACATATTCTGTACAATTCTTTGGGAGGGGAGGGGTAGTTGCTCATAATGAGCACTGGAGTAGGAAGAGGGATGGCAGGGGTTGGGCTGTGAGACGGGTACGCCTGTTGGTGTAGATTATGAAAGCTTCACTTGCAAATTGACATCTATTTAAAATATTAATTTAGGCAAATACATGCATAAATCAAAATCTGAATTTGGTGGCAAGGGAAGGGGCGGGGCCTAGCTGGGAGGGGAGGACTGGACATCATTTGAATGATAAGTGCACTTCAATCAGAGGACAATGGATATGGCCATTATTCATTGCGGCTTGCAAACACATGAGTTTTGCCCATGTGACAATGATTGTACCGACAATGCCAAGTTATTGGTGGGTGGTCACACCCCACCCTCAACCCCAAGCAATGCCCCCGGGGTGGGGGAAGGGGAGGCTGTGAAAAGGAACTCTTTGTTATTTCTAAAGTGTTCACTTGCATATTTACATTTGTTTCGTAATGCAACATACAAGTTCAAAATTCGGTGGCACAGGGGGAGTGGGCGGGGCCTAGCCAGGTGTGGGGGGAAGTACACGACCTACTATTCATCCAATGGTCTAAAAATGATACACAGTCTGATTCTGTTTGTAAAAATGTGCTAGGATTCATGAACAATACCAATTATACAAGTTATTACTCAAAACAAAGGAAAACACTGAGCGCTACTGCATAAAGGCCATACAATAACCCAAAATTTTCTCACCAGATATGAAAAGACCAATGTCTGAACTAACCATAGCCGAAGGGAAATTATTCTGAGTGCCCTGGCAAGTGCCATTTTGGAGGGATAAAAATGAGGTAAAAAATGCAATTTTGCTAGTTGTAAAAACATGCTGTATTATAGGGTCTGAAAATAGTATAAAGGAGATTTTTCAGAAGTGTTTTTATTTGTTTCTTGTTAGGGTAAGGATGATACTTTGTCGTGATATAGTTACTTTTGTGACATTACTTTGCAGTTTGGCTGGATGACCTTTGAAAATAACGCAAAAAATGAAGTTTTGCAGCCTCAAAATTGCCGAAAAATGTCCAAAACACATAATGGCCCGTAACCATGGCAACGGGCTAAATAAAAGTTTAAAAAGTCTATTTTGGTTACTTGCTCCCTAAGTCCTTTCATCCCACAAAGTTTTTAAAAATTCGATTTTTTTGAGCGTGGACACTTATATGAAGTATTTACACAAAATTACTCTTAAGTATTCACTTTCTTAGAGTTTAGGCACTCTCCTGAAGACGGTCAGAGCATACTGACCGGAACGTCGAGTTTATACCTCTGGTTCTTTTCAGAACCATTCTCTTAGTTGAGAAATTATTCGCACATGGTGTTTCCGCAAACCTTTCATTATTAAGCTAGCATTTAACCTTATTCAAAATAACTGACACTCTTTTCTTACCTTCTTTGAATTTCAACCAAATCACTTGAATACAAATCTTTCCAATTTGACGTAGAGAGCACAAACAGTTGAGGCTTTTGATAGGGCGGATCTGGTAAAGATGGCGCTGGACAAACACAGCATCGTCATCAAGTCGCGTGACATGGTTTATATATAGAACTTGGGATTTTTGTTTTGCTCCATACATGTACATAAGTCACACACCTACAATCTGTATATCTGTTTACATATTTACTTGACACTTGAGTTTGGGATCTAAGATAGGCTCATGCATTCTATCTACATGTACATTATGCACTTTTTGTTAAATTTCAATGGCATGCACCTCACTATACAATTCCACTCAGTTTTTTTTTTCAACCATCAAATAAAATCAGATTTCAAAATATTTCACACACGAAATTATTTTTTTATCTTGTGCTATTAATACTGATAAAGAATTTTCACTCTATTTGAAGTTATCAATTTGACCAAACCAAAAAGTTTCAACTTTACGTTTAAATTGTCCCTGCAAATTAAACATATACGTGCTACTGGGGGAAGTACATTTGGGTGTAATGGTGTACACTGAGGACAATGAACAACAGAATTGACTGTACATAAGAGGACACTATGTCCTCAGTTGGAAACCATCACAAATCAAATGAGAGGAGTTGCCAAAAGTTACCCAAACAAAAGCCATCAGAAGGACAGTGGGAAGTCCTCAATCTACACAAACCTTTGTGGGAGTGTGAAAAGTGCAGAGTTTTAGAGGAGGGGAACCAACATAATGTTGAAACAGTGTAGCAAAACTACATTCTTTGTGAATGCATATATTTGTAACCATATTAACAAAACTGTCATCCTGTCTGGCTTATTTCCAGGGTGTGAAGGGCAGCACCTCAAACTCCCTTGACAACGAGATGAGACAACTCAAGGAACATGGTCATGTTCTTGGCAGGATTCATCCTGGTTTCTATGACATCAGGAAGAGATTGAAGGAAGATCTTGAGAGAATGTTGGCTGAGAGACGATGAGGAGTCAAGAAGATGACGGCCGGTAAACGTCTCAAGTCAAGTAAGAATGAAAGTTGTCTGGAAATAATCACTCCATCAGCTAGATTTGATGACTAGTGATCCTACATGTACTTAATATCTTGGAAGCTTCATGTTAGGGCTGTCCGGTTTGAATCTTGTGAATCTTTGCTTCAGATCCTACTGCTTGTTTTATTTTCTATTGTCCCCTGGTTCGATTCCTGTTTATTCCCAGGTGTGACCTCAGTTATCCTTGAAGGAATCGAGTAGTCTTTGGTTCAGATCCTACTGCTTGTTTTCTTTTTTATTGACCCCTGGTTCAATTCCTGTTTATTCCCAGGTGTGACTTCAGTTATCTTTGAAGGAATTGAGGAGTCCACTCACTTAAAGAGAATTTGAAATTTTTTTTAGAGGTTTTCCACTTTGTTTGATGCAATGAGTGTGAATAATTGTAACCTTTAGAGGGGGCAAATCCCAGATCTGATTCATGTACAGTTCAATATCTTGTTTGTTTGTTTGCTGACATGTTTACTCTACACTTGAGTTTGTAACTTGGACCTGAGTTAGGATATTTTTTGTACTTGCATACGTGTACATGTACACATACACCATCAGGTTGCAGACTAGTAAATAAACTGCCATAGACCCCAGTGATAGATACCCCACTTCCAAAATTCAGGGGAAAATACTCACAACTCTCCAAGGTGTATAAGACACGTCAAATTAAAATTGATTTCATCATCTGCATTTTGTGTTCAATTTTTTTGTGGTAATACGATGACTTTTGTGAGAAATTTCCATCCAAAGATGATCACCCCTAGAATTATAGTCCAAAAACCCATCGCCATTTTGAAAACTGATGCCTATACTGGATTGCAAAGTAGAGCAATTTTAGGGCTTAATTCATCCAAATGACACAGAAATACAAGCTTGCAGTCCTGTTCACGGCTTCCACCTTTCTAAAAAAAATTTAACAAACCTTCAAGTTCATGGCCCACAAAATGATGATAGCAAAAAAATGAGGGTGTACAAATCGTGATTTGGCCGGCGTAGGCAATTTTGGGCCTATTTACTGGCCTGCAGCCTTCAGTGTCCATACATATGTGCATTGTACATGTCATTCCAAAGTTGTTTCATCAAATGAGGTGTTCATACATGTACCTGTGCATACTTTTTCCTTCCATTCTGTGACATAATGTATTCATTTAATCTCTCATTGTTTGTTCTGTTTGTAAAAAAGTCCCGATGAACAAGTTTGGATTTCTATAGAAGGTGTTAATTCCTTTGACCTAGCTCACAAACCAGCTTCATTCAGAACTTTCAGTTGTAAAATTTCCAACCTGTCTGAAGAGTTGTTTCATGTCAATCTTTCATATGAGTGTCCACGATCAAAACTTGATTGTTTCAACTTGCCGGATTGGAATTGGGAGTAAATAACCAAAGTCTTTTAAAATCCGTACCAGGACCATTGCCATAGTAACAGGGCATGTGTTTTGCAATTTTGGGCCAATTAACGGGCTCATTGCAACTTCATTTTCGGCCAATTTACAGACTTGCTAATAATACATTTTGTTGCCTTCTTTTGAAAGGCCGCCCAGCCTGAATGCAAACCAATGTCACAAAATTAACTATATCACTACACAGCCTCACCCTTACATGTATGAACATTGTACTTCTTAAAATTCATCATCTTTTAAGCCTTAATATAGCACATGTTTTCACAACTAGAAAAGTTGCATTTTGAACTCCATTTTAACCCCCCCCCCAAAAAAAATGCAAGTTGCCAGCTGGGCTCTCAGAATACTTTGCTGTTGGTTGTGATCAGATCTTTGTATATTTATCTTTTCATATTTGGTGAGAACATCTTGGGCAACTGCATACTCTTTCTGCAGCATCAATCCAGAAATGATTTTACAAAAACCTATGTTGAGGTTTTTCCTTTCTTTCTAATTCAAATTGAGTACCAAAAGAAAATATCCTAAATCTTGCAAATTTCTACAAACCCAAATAATTTGTCAATTACTTTCAGACGAGTGCCACCAAATTCAGATTTTCTTTGCTTTTTTATTAAGAGTTAATTTTTTTCCCCGTGGACACTTATATAAATTACTTACATGAAATGACTCTTAGTTTTTGTTTTCGATAATTTTCTCTTTCAGGTGATGGTACATGTACACAATAAACAATGAAGATGACACCCAGGTCAGTCAATCCATTTATAATCTTGTTAATAAAACCTTGCATTTAATGTTGAGTAAGAAATTGGCATTGAAATAACTTTGAATTCTTGTTGTCATTAAGTTCTGACTTAACAAACTATTGATAACAATAAAGAAATGGTTTTGGAAGTTTTTCATTTGGAAAATGCAAAGAGTGTGAACAGTGGTAAGCTTTTAAGGGGGCGAATCCCAGAGAGATGGCACTGGCAAACACAGAATCATCATCAAGTAACGTGACATGGTTTATATATAGAGCTTGGGGAGTTTGGGGGACAAGTGCTGGATGCAACAGACATGTACAGTTTATTAACTTGTTTGTTTGCTGACATGTTTGCTCTACACTTGATTTTGTATCTTGGACCTGAGATAAGTTAATTAGTCTTTTCATATTTGGTGAAAAAATCTCCATTCTGAATGGGGACCATTCAGAATTTTCAATGTTTTAAAATTTCGAACTTTTTTCCAAATTGTGGGTGGGTGGGTCAAGCTAAATAATTGAAAATCGAAATTCACTTTCCATGGAAAAAGAAAAAAAAAGAAAGATAGATCTTTTGACTTGCCTGAACTACGCGCAAGCGTTCCGATATCGCGATGTGTTTCTTTTCCAACTTCGTCCCCTGTATGTACTGTACATGTACGTCATGTACGTGTATATAAACCCACCGTGGCATGAGAGGGAGGTGGTTTTTCAGTAGGCTTGGACGCCGGGCGTTTGTAGCGGTTAGGCCGTGCAGAGGCAGCAGGGTACCAGGTGTACTAGATCGGCTCTATAACACGCCGTGGTCGTCGATTACCAATCGCTATAAAAATTGGTCAATTCAAACACTGGACTCAAAGACTACAAGGACCGCAGCCTGTGATGTGATGTCTGCCCAAACCTGATGTTTTTCTTTCGCTCGTACCCCCCGCCCTACAAACAGGGCGGGGGGGGGGGGGGCTACGAGTGAATGTTTTCTCAGCTACCTCACTTGACAGGCACAACCTCGTATGTCACATGTCATCCACCTCATCCAGAAAACGACAAAACCACGGTCATCTTTGTGGCTCCCAAAACTACAACCTGTCATTCCCAACAGCATATCAGCTGGCAAAACACAAGAAAACTGAAAGTCACCAGTGCAAAAGAGGAAGACCGACAACTTCACGCCGTTACTGAACTAGACACACAGGGGAATACATGTTCATGTTCAAGTATATGTACATGCAAGTGCATGTAAATGTACAAGTTCAGTTTTTTATTAATTGAAATTGGGGTGGGTGGGTGGGTCAAAATTATTTGGAAAAAAAGTCGAAATTGTAAAACATTGAAAATTCTCAATGGCCCCTAACATCTTCAAATGAGTGCCAGGCGCTGTTGGCAATGCATTCATGTGGTCCCACAACTCTGCCTTTGTAACGGTTGAGGGGGTACTTGTGCAAGGAGTCCATACCCAGAGATGCTACCCTTGATAAAGAGCTGTAGAAATGCCACCAATGTCACATTCTGTTTTTGATAGTCTGTGTTTTCAGTGTTTCAAGAGTTTGCCTGTATTTTCTGTATTCACGTTTCATCACACATTCAACATTTAAAACAAACCAGTACTGGCGCTCATTATAGCAGCAAAATGTCTGGGGGAGGAGTTGCCTCTCCCTGCTGCCCCAGTGGATGGTCCACAGGAAAGTAAATCCCATTCGTCAATACTTGTGTAACCGGTGAAATATTTGAAACATATTTCAATGTTATCTTTTTTAGCACCTTTGGGTTTTTCCTATTTCTACTGAAAGTTTCTTAATATTTTATATCCCAATAATCGGTACGCGGGATTGCTTTTTCACAAGTTTTGGATTGTTTTCATGTTTTCAAAGTATTGAAATTATTATTATCTTCATTGTTTTATGTGCATGTTATATTTTTGTTCACCACTGTGAGCATGAGTGAGAAAATCTGTCCTTTAGCCCTGGGTGGGTCAGCCACACATTCCAAGTTTCTGGAAAAGTAATTACCTCCAGGCAGGAGGCCTGACTACATGTACCTCATTATTATTCATTAGATAGACTCTAGCTTTTCTACACTAGTTACTTTGTTCATTATCACCCCCTTCTCTGTTTATTCATAATCTCTATGTGGTCTGCTCAGGAATGTGAGGCACTGGCCAACATCCTGTGGTTTAGTTTTCTTCAGTTCAGTCTTTAACTAGCCACCAACAAGAGCACACACATATTGTAAAGTCTTGTAATTTAAAGAAAGTTTCACAGCGCTGGCTGCACTTTGCTGCCATGCGGCCACTGATGAGGAATAAAAACAGTATATTTTCCATCTAAACTTGAAGAGCCTGTTGTCCCCGGTCACACTTGTTTTTATTTTTTTATTCTGCATGCACTCCTTAATGCAGTCAGGTTTCAAGAGTGATTATGTAAGCAAACTACCCACCCAGCAAATAAACAATGGACGTCATTTGTAATGATACTTGAATGGCACATTACAAAGGTCAGAGGTCACAGGCACAGGAATGATGTCCCACTTTGGACCCTCAATGTCTAGAATGACCCATATTAGTCATCAAGTGAAGATGACTAACACGGACCATATTGCAAGGTCAGGGTTCCAGCTGGCAAATTGCAAGGCACAGCCAAAGTTAATTTGTAGGGAAACGAAAAAGTGATTTTTAAAATCCTTTTCACAGAACAGATTCTGAAATAAATTTGTTTGAATTTCTATGAAAAATGGCCAAAGAGGCAATAATTGTCTTATTTATATCATCAGTTTTTAATATAAATGCAGAAATATCACAGGCACTCAATAATTAAGGGAGGGAGATTCATCGCCAATAGAGGGCGCTGTGACATTTTTAATTGCTGGGGATCTGATGAAAAGGTGAAACCATTGACCTTGTCTTTTTGCTATGAACACTTGCAGACTGGTCCAAGAAATCTGGAATTTATTTGGCCGGCTGGACCTCATAAAATTGTTTGCGTATTTATGTATCAAACAAAGGTAATCCAGAAGTGGAAATTTGGTAATTGCCGAAACTTGGGAAAAATTAAAGTTATTCACACATTCAACCACATGTGATAGTTACAGCAAATTCCACAGTGGTGCATTTCTGTTGTATGGTTCATCTGAGTTGTGGGATTCTGTTGGATTCAGGAGACTTCACTTGGTGGGTTTCTTTGGGGTTGGGGTTTTTAAATGCAATAACAATATAGATATTTTAAGACATGATTTTTCTTTTTAATTGTTAGATGAAGAAAAGAGCGACTACAAAGAACTACAAAGAGTGGTGGGTGAATTCTTATTCTGAATAAATGAATGAATTTATTTCTGCTCATTTCATTTCTAACCATCTGATTTTACAAGTCAATTTGAATATTTAAATGTTACAACAGAGTTTGAAAAGTGTCATCAAAATGTAATAATTCTTTGCTGAGACTCAAACTGTATAAGGGGGTAATTCTTTCCTTTCTTTTGAAGTTTGCTGGAATTGCAACCAAATAAGTAAAACAATGAAAACAAAGGTATGAAATTAACTCTGAAAAGGCAAGGAAATTTCAAGGAGGCAGTCAGGCCAAAATCAAGGCAACGGAGGCCTTAGATTCCTGAAATTCAATACCATTGATTTGAACATTTATTAAAATGATTGGCAACCTTTCACACTTGAAGAATTGTTAACCTTCAAAGAGAAATAATGAAAAATGTCCATCAAGATAATCCCTTGTGAGTAAAGTTTACACAAGCTTTTATTCTGTGAATTCAGACAGGAAACCGAATTAATAGGATAAGTATTTGTGCTCATCTTTAACGGACATTTTGATGATTAAATGATCATCCACATTAGTGTTTCATTGATATAAATGCAAATGTACAAAGCTTATAAATAATAACAATAAACAGGATTTCTATGAAAAACTACAAAAATGGAGAAAAAAACTACAAAATTCTTTCTTTTTTTTAAAGAAACTGAGTGAATATAAAAGACAATTTTTTTAAGTGATCTTAATAAACTTTCATAGTGATGGGTATGCTTAAAGGTACATTGTGCATAGGATCATTTGCTTTTTGCGGGTTTTTTTCCGAAGCAACAAAAGTGCTCAATATTTTAAGTAGGTTGTATAACAAGCATTCTGTTCAAGTCTTAGCTGAGTGGCTACTATACATTTTGGAGAAAACAGAGAAAACATAATGCACAAGTCTTTGGATATGGTAACTGGATTCTGTAGGCACCCCATTTTGAAACCACCTTCAATGTTGTATTCTGACAATACCATTTCAGGTGGAATTATTTCACAGGGTATTTGTTACCAGTCCTATCTTCACTTTGAGGTTTCTGTCATTAAATCGGTAGGTGCTTATCTGGGTTATTGCAAATGATCTTACATGGCTTTAAAAAGTGAAGTTAACAGAAATACAGAATAATTGATATTGTACAGGCTGTAATTTCCATTATCAGAAAATGTAATGTAGAAATAGCACAGAATACAATGAGTAGATTTATGTTCTATTAGGAACAAATTGAAGAAAATACATAAAGGGAGTTTACAAAGTCTTGTTGTGACTACTAAGATCTACATACAGTGGTAAATTGTTAAACACTAAAAAGTCTACTTGAACATTTAATTTTTACAATAAGATTGATACTTTGCAAACAAATTCATAATTCTTTATTTTTGCTGAAACCCAAACTGAAGTGATGATTTTTTTTTCATTTTCCAGTTTTCTGAAATGGCAACCAAAAAATCCAAAACAATGAAAACAGAGATGTGCAATTAAATTCTTGAAAAGACAAAGAAATCTATTTGTTTTGTAAGGAAAATAATTGAATTAGAAATGTGCTATTTGTGTGGGACCTTTTCAAGGTGGCAGTCAGGCCAAAATCAAGGCAACTGAGGCTGTATAGCTTTCTGAAATTCAGCGTCAGTCGAATTGATTTCTAATCATTCAAACTGAAGGGATATTTGACAGTCTGAGAAAAAATGTCAACAAAATTTCAAATCAAGATAAAAACATTCTTGTAAACATGAGTCTTAATTCTGTAAATTAAGACAGGAAACCAAATTAATTTTCACTCATCTTTGGCAAACATTAACAATGAGTAAATTACCTTCAATATACATGTAAACGTATTGTAAATTCAAATGCGTAAACAGAAACTGCAAAAAGTAACGTAAAACTGAGTAAATAAAGGCTTATTGAACAGTAATCTGAGTACTAACTATCGTGCTGAACGTACATGCTTAAAATGAATTTAAACAACATGTATATCACAAAATACTTCTCAAGGATGAAGTGCTTGTAAAACTGTCTCAAAAGTTCTATTAACAAAAGTACAATATATAATGGATTACATGTAGATATTCCATTAGGAACAAATTTCAGAATCCCAGGGAGTTTAAGAAATCTTTGCTATGTTTTCAGCTTTGGCTAGTACTATTTAAAGCCTTTCAAGAAATAAACCTCATGAACACTGTCAACACAATTCTCCATTCTGTGAATGAAGATCTGAAACCACATTAATATAATGAGCTTTGTCACTCATCTTTAGGATACATTTGGACTTAAGGCAATTTACATGAAAGCAGTGTTTTATTAATTAAATCTGTACATAAAGCTGAAAAAAAGTAACACAAAATTAACTGAGTGAATAAAGGCTTATCTTGAAGACTAATATGCACGTATTTGAACTGAGTAATGCAGAATGTTGAATATCAAGAACGAAAAGATCCTAAACATTTCTCAAATCCTTGTTGTAAAAGCAGAATATGTACAGCAACTTCCATCATCAACAATTTAACAATCTTAATTGTGTTTATGAAATGTTGGCTTTGTCCCTAGCTTTGGCTTCTGGCTTCTTTATTTTTGTCCCCTGATGTAACTCCAGTACAATATTGGTCCATTTTCTTCTTTAGAGACACCAAATCCTGTCACACAAGGCCAATGGATGGTTGGTGTATTTTCACTGAGTTTGAATGTGGAAGGATTCTTAGGAATCTGGTGCCAGATATAAAGCGGAAGCCACAATGAAGCCGGGGTTTTATAAATACCACAAAAAGTTGGTAAGTATTGGATAGATATATGGCGAACCATGTACTGGGTGAGGGAGGGGTGTTGGTGTGAGGAGGCGGGGGTCACTACATTCAAACTCCTCAACACCAACTAAACTCCCCTCTCCTTTCAAATTTACCATTTAATTCAGATTCCAGTCATTGTACAAATTATCCCAATCAAATCAAATGTAACTGCCCTTATAAAAATCCACTATAGTTTCACCATTATAAATTTGTAGTTTTACTATAGTTCATCAAAGTTTACTATGATAAGTATAATATATGTAAAGTTTTGTGTAAGGTAAAGTTACTTTAATTTTACTACAGTAAATACTGCAGTATTATTGTACGAAATTTAAAGTTAACTTGTAGTAAATATATAGTGCCGTATTAAAGTTTACTGCAGTTTCACATCATACAAAAACTATAGAAACACTAAAGTACAACTACAGTTTTAACACTCTACGTTCTACACATTTACTGTAGTTTCACTACATCCAAAGACTGTAGTATTACTTTTTTTAAACGCTCAAGTAGGACTACAGTTTGAACACAATACTTTCCGCATATTAACTGTAGTTTCACTACTTCCGAAAACTGTAGTATTACTTTTTAAAAACTGAAGTTAAGACTACAGTTTTAACACAATACTTTCTGCATATTAACTGTAGTTTCACTACTTCCGAAAACTGTAGTATTACTTTTTAAAAACTGAAGTTAGGACTATAGTTTTAACACAATACTTTCCGCATATTAACTGTAGTTTCACTACTTCCGAAAACTGTAGTATTACTTTTTAAAAACTGAAGTTAAGACTACAGTTTTAACACAATACTTTCTGCATATTAACTGTAGTTTCACTACTTCCGAAAACTGTAGTATTACTTTTTAAAAACTGAAGTTAGGACTATAGTTTTAACACAATACTTTCCGCATATTAACTGTAGTTTCACTACTTCCGAAAACTGTAGTATTACTTTTTAAAAACTGAAGTTACATGTAGGACTATAGTTTTAACACAATACTTTCTGCATATTAACAGTAGTTTCACTACATCCAAAAATTGTAGTTTTACTTTTTAAAAACTGAAGTTAGGACTATAGTTTTAACACAATACATATTAGTCTTGTAACAGTTTTTACGTGTATTTGTACTTTACATGTAATTTCTTCAAATCTAACGTGTACTCATTTTTCAGCAGAAAAATAAGCCATACGAATTACTTAAGTACATGTAGTCATGTTTCCAAAAATGATATGCTTTGTGGAGACTTGACAAAACTGCATGATCTCCATACATCGAACTGCATGTGAGGGACACCAAATAATTAGGTATCAGTAATCTACCACTCACATTCTGAACCATGCAACATTGAATATGCTACCGCACCATATCTGCACAACACAGTTTATTGAGCTAAACAGGAAACAGTCCACATGTTACATCATCAAGAGAATTATGTTACATGCCTAGCCTAACACACACACAGCATGCATAGTGTAGCATGGGCAAGTCACATTACGCAATGACCTTGCATACCAGATAAACGGTCAGTGTGGAAAATTTGAAAACTGCATTCAGTTGCAACAGTGCTGCAGTGCTTTGCAAGAGGCCAGAAAAGTTGAATTAAACTGGGTCAAAATCATGGATATAGTTGCATGACATGTGCATGCCTGATGTGGACATAAGTAACTGTTCATGTGCACACGCATCCTGTACATGGTTAGCATGTAGAAATACACTGGATGGATGATCGGTGGACATGTTGGAGCTTAAGAGTTACATAGACATGATGATGCCTGGCATGATATGCCTGGACCATGGAGAAATGCCTGGACTCTTGTCTCACGGAGTCACGCGTCACAATCACAAGCTGTTGTATGCGGTAAGTCTACAAATTCACGTTTGCCTTTTATTCAGTTTGTTGATGATATTCCGTTATGGCTGTCCTACCCCTTACTTGCAATTGGATTACGACATGCTGGATATTAAATCAAATGTAAGCATATGTTAAAGTTTAAACTGAATGACTGGGAAAATTATTATTGAAAAAAATTGACCCAGTTTGTGTAATATTTTAATTATTTGTGTGTGTGTATTTTTTTCATTTCAGATACATCGTACAGCATTAGCAGCAAGAACTTATTCCCCAATCCCTGACAAAAGTTTGGTCATGTTGGTGATGTGTAAAAACATGTATTATAAACCACAGCAATCCAGGTATTCCATTCAGCCATTCATACTGTACATGAGTTTGTTACTCTGTTAATTTCACAACAAGATTTCACTGCATCCTACTTTTGCAAATGCAAGAACAAACTTACCAAAGAAAGTTTAGCAATAAATTATATCCAATTTCAGGGCAAGCTGAAAAACATGTATATAATATATGCTGGAAGTACATTTTCATAATTTTACCTTTTAAAGGGCATTGCAGATGATATGCGTATTACTTCAATAACATGTAAGCTGTGGGCAGTTTGTTTTGGTTTAAAGTTTCACAGTCACAACCCTTAAATTCAAACTTTGAAAACTATTCTTGTTGATAGATGGCACATTTTCATTATAAAAGACACATTGAACAGACAAATGTGCTTTTTGTGGCAAACATTGTCACAATAAAACCGGGGCTTCGTTGTGTTTAAAGACTGCACCATCCCCTTTGTAATAACCCAAACTTAAGTGTATTCAGCTGTATTTTTTCAGCTGTTTATTTTCCTGTTCATTACTTTTTAAGACCGTAATATTTTTAAGGTTAAAATGTTTACTGTTATCAACTCGATATACATGTACATGGGCAATTCTCCATGGGAGAGCAAAAAATGTCAAAAATAAATATTCACATATTAAGCCTTTTTTGTACTTTTTCCAGACCTCAATTAAATGGGGAATTCAGTTAAAAAAACGAAATTAAAAAGAATTACATATTTCTGGTAAAAACAGTGATTTTTGCAATTTATGATTAATTAAAAACGTTCAGATTTGGTAAAAAAAAAAAAAAATTGTGTATGTATTACTTTCTGAATTATAGGGAAAAGATTTGATTTATTTTATGATGTTACAAGTTACTTACATTACTCAGGGTCATTAAAAAAAAATCTAAATATACAAATATATATATATATATAGAGAGAGAGAGAGAGTAGGCCTTTATTTAAAAATGTCAAAATTAGCACGTAATTCCGTTACCGAAAAAATGGCAAAAGTTACTTATTTCACAAATTTTCTTGTTTTTTTTCTTCAAATCATGTATGTTGAGAAAAGACCCTACTATAAACATAAATGAAAAATAAAAACTTTAAAATAGTAATTTCTTGGCATTTTTCCAAGTGGTATCGGAATTACGAAACGGTAACGGAATTACGCATGCACAAAGTATGCACACTTCCTCCAGATTATGTACATGACATATTAAATAGGTGATTTGCATGTAACCTTTGACAATAACTTTAAATACTAAATTACTTGTTAAATCATTTCCCTCTTTAATTTGCTATTATAAAATTAAAAATAATCAGGTGTTCCATTGATATTTTTTACTTTTAATTTTTCTTATTTACTATTTAAAAAATGCTAATAGTTGTTTGGATGGTTAAAGGGAATATACAACATTTGCAAACATCAGAAAATAAAACTACCAAGTTTTTACGAAAATATTAGGATGTTGGTAAATGACAGTCTAAAGCATCCTGTACAATTATGGCACCTGGTGTGAAGTAATTTTCAAGAAAATGATATTTTTGTATACATTTCCAACGGTTTTCAACTACAAACTATTTTTCAACTACTGCTCCAACTTAACACTCTTTCCAGTCCAAATTTTGTTTTCTATTTGTTACATGTTCATGAACGGGTGCAGGCCAGCTAGTCTAGTTCCCTTACCCTCCACTTTTCCGGCATCTATAAATTGATCCATTTTACCTTTAGTGGAGTCAAGGAACCAGACTACTTGAACAGTTTTGTTTTTCTTGGTTTTCCAGCATTTTCGAACGCAAAACTTCAAACGTGTCAGTGTAACAATATTTGATCTATTATACTAACCCCTCAAATAGTTCATTTCTGAAAATTACAGCAAAAGCCAATGATGTACATTCCATTTAAATATGTGTTGCCAAAGTCGTTGTCTGGTACCCACAGAAAATATATTCCACAAGAAGTATATGAAAGTTGAGTACCAGACTGTACTTGTACTTCTACTTGGCATAACTTAACATCTTCCCTTGCTCAGAGATGCCAACCAGTGCAGTTTTATTGTATTTTCCACGATAAACTAGTGAAGTACGATAATACAATTGTTCATAGTAAAATTTGATTTTCGGTAAAAAAAAAATACATTGCTAACAGGCAATGCAGGCATCACCAGACTGCTTTCATTTGACCTTTGACCTAAAAAATGAAGCCCAGACATGTTTAGGCCTACATTTACATTTTGATCTGCTAATTTTTACTTAACTTTCCCCTTGTGACATGTTATAAACTTCTAAAATTTGTATTGTGATGAGTTTATGTTGAATTCAATGTTAATGTATTGCATTTACCTATTACATGTAAACCTATGGCATAATTCCGTTACCGCCCAGGCGTAATTCCGTTACCGTGATTAAAATGCAAATTATGAAAAGAGTGATTACTTTTTTCAACTTTGTTCTGCATTGTAGTTAACAACACCCCTGAACTCTACAAATAACAGGAAGTGTCCAATTTTAAAATTTCAAAACTTCAGAGAGTTTCATTAATTTATGCAAGAACTCAAATATGCTTGTCCTCCGTCCGTAATTCTGTTACCGATATTAAGCTCCGCCCCTTAAAGGGTAAACTTGTGAAAAAATTTTTTAAGCGGTCAATCAATTCTATTGGGTCTTGGCTCCCTTTCCATGTTTAGATTAGTTGCCTAGCATAGAACATATTTTCTTGGGAAAGAATCATCCTCGACAAAGTGACAAATGGGCGTAATTCCGTTACCAAAGAATTGCCCACATGTAGGTTTAATTTTATACAACAGTCTTGGATGCATTCATTGTGTGCATGGATTTGTACAGTGTGAACAAATCATTTTTCTAAGATACAGATTAAAGACAAAATTTGAGCTTAATTGAAGGATAAGACCATATTTTAATTGCCTTAAAAAACCTGTGCATTCCTGTTTGAGAAAAATGCTTGTGTATGCATTTTTGAACATTTGATTCATGTTTAGTTAAATGATTTTTCTATTTTTGCAATTTTTAGGGTGACATGTCATTTAAACATCATAAATATGTTAATTTTAGTAAAAGTAATGCACATGTATTTAATACTTTTTTGCAGGTGCCACATAAGCCAGGTGCCACAACATTGACGTACATGTACATGTTTATTGTTTAACTTGGTCTCTTTTTGCAGATAACATGTGTAACACAAGTATGAGCTGATAACTCCTTTGTTATATTTTTCAATTTATTTTACCCTTTGACAAGTTCAATTTACAGTCTTTGAACACCTTTTGCATTAAAAACAGTTCTTTAGCTCATTTAACAAATAACTGAAAGTGAAGATACATTTTTTTTCCAAGTACATGTACATGTATTTGCTCAACTTGTGAAATGTAAACTTTATTTTATTTGTGTGACAAATATAGGATGATGCACATGAAGAAGAAAAAAAGTCTTGTCTTTTTTTACTATGTGTCCTTTTAACGTTTTTTTAGTTAGTTTGCCCATAAAATGTTGTAGTCCACTGGTCATCGGAAAATGAAGCAGTTTTGCTGGAAGATATACATGTAGTGTACGTCTCGGTAAACTGCACCAAAAGAAATGTAGTAGTGATTTTGGAGTTACTTACAGTTCAACTACAATACTTGTATTCATTTTTACTGCACTAAATCTGGAGTAATATCTGCAGTAAAACTGCAGTAGAATTATAATAAACCAACTACAGCGCCTAAACTACAGTTGCCTCTGCAGTAAATATGGGGTAAATACTATGATACAATTATAATAAAAATGCAATAAACTGAAAATAAATTACTACAGTGTTTTTGAAGTGAAACTGCAATTCCACTACAGTAACCTTTTTTACTACAGTAAATATGCAGTTAATCTCTACTAGAATTATAATAAAAGTATAATAAACCCCCTTTTTATTTTAATATTACTATAGTATTTTTACTACAGTAAGTATGCAATTAATCTCTAATAAAATTATAATAAAAGTAAAATAAATCCACAGTATATTTTAATTTGACCATAGCTCTTCTGAAGTAAATTACAATACAACTGCAATTAAATTATAGTAAATATGAAGTCATCAAAACTACAGCAATACTGTAGTTTTACCACAGTATACTTGCAATTATTCTATTGTTAATTGTAGTAAAATCACAGTTTTATCACAGAACCACTGTAGTTTTACTGTAGTAATTGAGAAATTGCGGCCAAAACACCATGATTTTACTGCAGTAATTACTATAGTTAAATCAAGGTAAAAATGAAGTAGACCTAAGTGAAACTGTGGTTTGATTATATTCATATTATAGTCTTACTGCAGTGTAACTACAATTTAATTGCACTGTTAACTACAGATTATGGTGATCCATGTACTGGGTGAGGGACGGGTGTTGGGTTGAGGAGGCGGGGGTCATTACATTCAAACACCTCAACACCCACTAAACTCCCCTCTCCTTTCAAGTTTACCATTTAATTCAGATCCAGTCATTGTACATGTACATTAAGATTAAAACAAATTATCCCAATCCAATCAAATGTAACTATAGTCAATACACTGTTTATATAAGACTTTGTATAGTAACAAAATGTAATTGATGCACTGTTTATTTAAGAATTTTTATGGTAAAATGTTTCACATCAGAGGGATCTGGCAGTTTGGATTTTGATGAGAGATGTGATATGAGTGGGACATGAATGTTGATTGGTGCTGTAATGACTGGACAATTTCATCCTCAACATTTGCTGTTGGAATGATGATGATTGCTAGTCAATGTCATGTTGGATGACATCACACCTTGTGAAACATCTTGATTGAGTAGTGGTCAGCAACTGCCAGCTGACCACCTGATGTGATTGTTATTCCACATGGGGCACACAGACCCTGAGCCAGGCAATCAAGAAACCTGCCATCTAGGTCATAGTGGTGAATATGACCAGTGCCAGGCACACCTTGGTACACTACAAGGTAGATGCCTGAGCTGTCACAGCATACACCATTGCAGTACCCCACTGGCTTACCATTAATGGTTGGTTGAATTGTGGCGTGTGTTTTACCTTTGCTATCAGCAATGTCCACTTTCTTTGTGTTCCATCCACTGACCACAACTCTATCAGTGTCGTCATCAACAGCCAGGTAGTGAGGTGGAGTCTGCACTGGTATGGTGTGTAGGATCTCACCATTAGTGGGTTTGTGTTCAGTCCACACCAAATTGTCGATGTCGCCTACTAAGATGCTATTCTTTGTTACTGCTAGACTCGATAGGTTCATTTTTGTCATTTCTACCGGTACCTGATGCTTTGGCATCGTTGGGAACTGCCTAACAAGAGTGTTGTCCTTCATGTTGAACACCTTGACATACTTGCTTCCACGTTCCAATACAAGCAAGCGTTGCTCAGGATTGTGGATGGCTGCAACTGCCTGTGGATCTGTGGGTAAAGAAGAACTCAAATGTAACATTCATTGTATGCACAGTATATAAATGCACTGTCACTATTCTGAGTCTCCATGAAATATAAATACCTATGATAACCGACCTATAATAATGAATACATGGCGTGCCTTAAAGCCTGTTCGTGTAGAATTAATAGAC